AGTAGGAATGTACCCTGTATTATCGACGAATTTGCCAGCTCAGTCTGTGGCACCGTGGCGTAGACACGCCTTTGGGTCCCTGATGTCCCGGCTTGTGAGCCCTGGCCTCAGCCTCGACCCATGCCTAGGCCCATCTAGCCTGCTTGCAGAATCCCCACATGTGAAGTAGTAGGGGCCTGAGTGGCACCCTATAACTAGTACTGGTTCCCCTGACCCATGGTGGGGTAGGGAGGAATGTACTGTGTCTGTGGTTGTCCCACCGAAGTCTGGGACTAAGATGAGCCATAGCCTTGGGATCCCTACCTCGGGGGACAATCCCGCTACATGTGACCCAGCTGGTGGCAATGAAAATATGTCCTCTGCCCTGTCTGATATGTAGTTCGCTGATTTCTCCCACCTTGGGAGGATTGACCCTAGCCTTGGCCTTGATAACCACAGCCCTGTCCCTGAGGAGTAGAAGTTCTTTGCCTCTTTCTTGAGCTAGAAGAAAAGGATTGACCCTCCTTCTTCTTATACTTGGCACCTGACTCTCAGATGCTCCTTGCGTCCTCAATCTCTCTCTCAATGGCTATAGCTGTGGTCACCATCGAGTCCAAGTCTTGCAATAGAAGACCCACAATCTTACCTCGGATGGACAACTTTAAACCATCCTCGAACTTTCTCACCTTGGCCACATAATTATCGACGAAACGTGCTAATTCCGTGAATTTAGCCACATATTCCATCACCGTTATCGTCCCTTGTCTCAATGGCCCATGAAGAGTTCTTTGAACTCTACCCAAGTCATAGCCTCCAAGTTCTTGGAGTCCTTCACCCAATCTCACCACAATTGGGATTCCCCCTCTAGCTGAAATGTAGCTAGGGTTATCTTGGTGGCGTCGGAGGTGATCTCCATAGCCCTCAATACTTCCTAGACTTACTAGAACCAATGGTCAGCTACCATAGGATCTGCCCCTCCCATAAAGACCAGAGTTGTGTGCCTTGAACTTTTGGAGGTTACTTGAGCCTCCTTGTCCTCCACTTGCACCAGTCTATGCAATAGTAGTGGTTGTAGCACTGGCTTGTGAAATGGTAGCAGCCGCCGCACTAATAGCCTCCAGAAAGGCTTGTTGGTCGAAAGCTGGTGGTGGTTGGTTGTTCCGTCCATCTTGACGTCCCCTCCCTCTAGTTGCCATCTACACACATGCCAAATAGCAATAGATTTTTCTCCTTGTTTCCCTAGTAAAGTCTATACCACCCACTAGTAAACATTTATACCTTGAACTATCCCGTTCATTTCTTTTCCGACCCCCAAGGTTATGTTTTCTAACTCTAGTATCCCTTTCCATATACATTTTACCATGTATATCATTCACATAATCACATAATACGTAATCATGTAACACAATTTAAGCACATAAGATGAAATGTACAATGCATGCAACGGTCTAAACCCAATGCCCATCAAGCCCTAGGTAATCCATATACCTATGCTCTGATACCAAGTTGTGACGCCCTTAAAACCGGTAGTCATTTTTTAACCCGTTGACCACCCGTCAACCCGCGGAATTACCCGTGAGTGTCGCTTGATCCGACATCACGCTGTTATTATTCCATTACCTAAAATTTTAACTCACATGTATTACCCTTGTTCCTATAATCATTTAATCCGACCAAGGTCCAATATACCTTATTTAATGTCCATTTGTATCATTGGAACTAAGGACAAAGCCCAAAAGTATGGCAAAATAATTTAAAAATTTTGGGTTTTAGGAGACAGTACCGATACGCTTTTTCTTCTTGGCAGACTGTACCGGTACGCAATACCGGTACACTTTGTCCAGTTTTTGCCCAATTTACCTGTTGTCAATTTTAACCTATTCCAAAACCTACATTTTTTATCCAAAACATATTAAATCATGTTTTTCACATATAATCTAATATATACAACGTCTAATACAACCCATTCCATACATTGACATGACAAAAGGGTTTTAAACAAAAGTGTTTACAAAACTTGTTTCCAAAAGCCATAAACTGGCTTTTCTTCATCTTTGAGGCCTCGAATGTGAGTCCTCCACCGGTACGAATCCCGCACCTGAAATGTGTTCCCATATAGGGTGATCCAACGCCCAGTAGAAAATTTCCTACAAGGGCTGCTCCCCACCTAAGTGTATATGCAATGTGTTATGCAACAAAACACAACCAAAATCCATTCCAATGTAAGAATTATGTAATCCATGTTAGAATTTACCATGGAACTTACCATGCCATGCCATGAATGAAATGAGATTCACTGTCGCATTTTAACCCCGAGCCTTTCCCCGGCTCCTCAACACATGTCATGCCAATGTGTATTAACATCGAGCTTTTCTAGCTCCAGCTATCTACCTTCACCCCATGCTATGCAGTGATTATCAAAATTGAGTTTTTCAAGCCCCCACCATTTGTGTTACACACCCAATGACTAACTAAAATTTTTGGGTCTTTCTTGGGGTCGGTATTTATGAACTTACACCAACGGTCACCCAACCGACACAGAATTTATGGACTTCCACCAACGATTCTGCGTACACCGACACACTTTATGGACTCTTATACCAACGAAAGTGCGTATCCAAATACCGGGTCTCTCACCCGAGGGATAGTCTTGCCCTACTTGCTACCCCCGACCAAAGTCTTTTTCATGTAACCGTGCAACTCAGTCAGATATTCAATCCAATTTTTTTGAGCCCACCCATCTTCCACCTACGTGGTGTTTGATGAAACTATGCGCCACTCGTATCCACACTTATGCCTAAGCCTAGGAATGAGATGTTATAGTATGCCCAAGATGCAATGGATGTCAAATGAGCAAGTTAACCACATATGTACATATCTCATGGCAATTCATATCGTAAACATATAAATCCCATGAATCGTTACAATGTCAATATATCAATGAACACATATTAACATTTTTTTCCAACACATTTACTAAGCATGTTACACATTATCATGTTATAACAACTTAATCCACACATAGACATTTTGGCAAACACCTTCAAGGCAACAATTCATGTTATCACACAAGAACTTTCACCTCATTCACAAAGCATAATATAAAACATATAGCATGCTCATATAATCACTTTTCCCATGGAATTACCAAATAAGTAATTTCCACCTCACAATTTCAAGCTAGGAAATTCTATTCATACCCATTACATACTCATTTTTCATACCCATTTCACCCATGTCATATGCATAAATGAGTGAAACACATATTCTCCTTTAACCCACACATTTTATATAACACTACAAGAGGGAAATGAACCAAAGTAGGAGAACCCCAACCTCTTGAAGCGTAAAACAACATTGGGAAGCCCCAAGAACCCAAAACGACCTTGAATCCTCACTTTTCCAAAATCTCATTCTTCAACCTTCGGTGAAACTCTAATAAACATAATATCCAAGAGAACAATCACAAATCTATACCCTTGCCTATAGAGTACAAAGAGAACTACTCACATGACATTGTAAGTCTCCAAAAGGTAAGAAAAATAATGTACAAGACTAAGAAAGAGGGATCCAAGATGATCCACAACATAAGAGAAGTCCAATATATATACTAGGAGGTCTAGGGTTGGCTTGGGAGCAATAATTTTCCAAAAAGAGTCTTTCTAGGTCAAATTTCATTCATTAGGTCCAAGGAGGCATGTCTCGATGGTCAAAATGCATTCGGACGGTTCAAACTTATTGGAAAATTCTTCATAGGTGCATCTGGACGTGGGGTACTGAAATTGCCCAAACTTTGAGCTTGATTTTCAGATAGGTACAGGCCGATTCATTAAATTTACCTACAATATCCTAGAAAATAAATTGATGATACAGATAAATTTATGTTACATAAATTGGAAATTAAAAATTTTGTTAATAGAGATAAATAAACCTAAAATAGTTTTGGGAGCCAATATTTTCCAAAAAAGGACTCTTTTTTGGTAAAATTTCATTCATTAGGTCCAAGGAGGCATGTCTCGACAGTCAAAACGCATTTGGATAGCCCAAACTTATTGGAAAATTTTTCATAGGTGCGTCTGGATGCAAGTACTAAAATTACCCAAACTTTGAGCTCGATTTTCGGATAGGTAGAGGCCTATTCATTAAATTTTTGAACAATATTTCATCCAAAAGAAGCACCGGTAACTTGACAATCTACCATTAGCAAAAGTTTCACGTTAGAAGGAATCCATAGTGTAACCTTTGAATAGAGAGAAAAGCTCTAATTTCTCTCTAGGAGTTTTCCCCTTTCATGAGTTCTTCACCAAGTTCATCCTTAATACCTCCTAAACCACCGGATTTACAGCCTGTTAATACTTTCCAACCTACTCCATCCTATGCTTCACTCTTCAAACAACCATCTAAATCTGTTTCAGAGGAAAAGCCAGTGATCAAGATTGAAAAACCAGTTGTGTTTTTATGAGGGGGAGCCAGCCTTTTACTTCACCAAGTAAGAAGTATAGTAGTCTTGTCTATCCCTCTAATATGCATTAATAGGCAAATGTGCTTATGGTCGTCCAAGTTTGGGAGTGATAAGAAAAGTAATACATTCTAAATGGGAATTGAAAGGAGATTTTGAAATAGGTTCAATGAATCCCAGACATATATTGATAAGGTTTGAGAAGCACGAAGACTACGTGAAGATTTGGTTAAAAGATGCCACCATGATTGAAGACTATTTGTTCAAATTTTTTAAATGGTTTCCTGCTTTTGTACTTGGCATAGAGCCTTCCATTGTACCTATGTGGATCTCTTTACTTGGATTGCCATTGAATTTCTTCAAAAAGCCCTTCTTGGAGTTGTTAATGAAGCCTATTGGAAGGGTCTTAGCATATGACCAAGCTACACTCTCTTTAACAAGACTTGGAGTTGCTCGAGTGTGTGTTGAAGTAAATTTGTTGTCAAATAATCCTTCTAGGATCTGGTTGGACATGGGAGATAAAGATGCTCGTTGGTAGTGAATTGTATATGAATGGAATAAGAAATTCTGCAAAGGTTACAGGAAGCAAGGTCACAATGAAGTTGAATGCAGGAAGAAGAAGTCATTGAATCAATCAAAGGTTGAAGATGGAAAGTTCTCGCCACGTGATCCCGTGAATGACACAGTAGGTGCACAGAAGGAAATTGCTGATTTGAGGAAAGGAAAGAATATTCAGGGCACAGGAAAGGAAAGGAATCAAATCCTAGAATTTGGCAACCAAACCAGGAAACATCCGGACACATTTCAATTACGAAAAGGAATGCAGAAACAAGGAGTATGGAAAGTAAGTACCGAACAGAAGGAAGCAAGCAAAATAGGAAATAACGTAGAAAGAAGGTCTAATAATGCTCTCCAAAAGGATATGGTGAATATTGTGGATAATATTTTAGAATCTACCCCAATAGTTTTAGAAATTGGAGAACATTCGGGCAATGATATGGAAACTACCAACTTGCAGAATCCTGTATTGATTGAGTCTTCCCAATCAAAGAAGTTACCATATGTGGAGAGGCCAGTTGCAGACGATGGTGAAACTCTTGATGAGAATCCCAGGGAGCTTCTTGAATTGGCAAAGTTCATGCTTTCGAAAGAGGGGCTTTGTCAACTAGAGGATTAGTGTTTATCTTCGACTTTTCTGGTGGATCATCAATATACTTGTCGAGAGGGTGGTGAGGTCTCCTTAGATGATGAGATGGGTTTAATGTGCAAGAAAGAACCCCCAGATAAAGGATTTTACTAGGATAATGACATTAACTTTCATGTTCATCTGGATATACATGATTCAGATTCTGACTAAAGCACATAGGAACAGTCTCAAGATTATGTTCAGCCACGTTCTTCTGATCAAGGCCCAGGAGAGCATCACGATGATATTCAAAGAAGTGTAGACACACAGTCAGGTATGAATACTAGATTGAGGTCTAGACAACTCTCTCTACCCCACCCTTTAAATGATTAATATCATTTTATGGAATGTGAGGGGAGCTAACAAAGAAGCTTCCAGAATAAGGCTCAAGAAGCTGATTAGGGCTAATGATGTCAGTTTAGTTGCAATTTTGGAACCAAAATTATCGCCTTCCAGACTTAGAGATCTTTGTCTTAGCTTGGGTTTTACTTCCTTTTCAGCGAATTCATTGGCTGAAAAAGCATATTTGGATTTTATGGGATCATAGGGTGCGGATAGAAACTTTTGCAGTTTATGAGCAAGCTTTAATAGTTAGGATTTATTTTATGGGTCTTGCCCTAATTTTAGTTTCATTTGTTTATGCAAAGTGTGATCACATTCTCAGAAGGCCTTATGGGCTTACCTAGCTGATTTGTCTCCTTTAAATGAGCCTTAGATGATAGTTGGGGATTTTAACACGATCATATCTTCATCAGAAAGGAAAGGAGGTGCCACTCCTAGCCTATCTATTATGAATGAATTTATTTGTTAGATTCCCTGGGTTTACAAGATTGTGGTCATACTAGTACCACTTTTACATGGTGTAATGGTCATCATTGGTTGACAAGAATGTGGCAACGATTGGATAGGGCATTAATTAATCTAGAGTGGAGTGAAAATTTTCATACAACTACTGTGGAACATGGTGTTAGAGGTTCTTCTGATCATTGTCTATTGATTATTAAGTGTTCTATAACGGTTGGCCCTACAAGGTTATCTTATTTTAAATTTATGGATATGTGGACAGAACATGTGGGTTTCCTTCTTTTGGTGCAATCTGCTTGGGTGGGTTATTACTCACATAACCCACTTGAGAATTTATTTTTGAAGCTAAAGTTTTTGAAGTTTAAATTGAAGGCTTGGAATAAAGAATCATTTGGGAATGTTTTTAGAATATCAAGAAATGTGAGCAGATTTTGTTGCAAGTGGAGATTGAGGTGGAGAATAGTGACTCTAAATCTAATGTTTTGCTCATGGAGGCTGCGAAAGATGAGCTTGATAAGGCACTCAAAATAGAAGAAATCTTTTTGAGACAAAAAGCTAATATGCAATGGAATGTGAAGGGGGAGAGAAACACGAGACTATATCATGTAGTTGCGAAAGGGAGAACTTGTAGAAATATAATAGCTAGAATCAAGAATGCTCAAGGTGATTTGGTGGACGAAGAGAATGAGATTGCACACATTGCTGAGGATTTCTTTTATGCACTATATACATCTGAAGTTCAACAATTAGAGGAGGATTTATTTTCAGTTATCCCGGCCTTAGTCACAGATGATGATAATGCCATGCTTATTGCTCCGGTCTCTTTAGAAGAGCTTAAAGATGTGGTATTGGGTATGTCAGTTCATAGTGCTCCAGGTCTGGATGGATTCTCTGGTAAATTTTTTCAACCGGCTTGGGATATCATTAAGCAGGATTTACTAGTTGCAGCTAACTTCTTTCTACAATGTGGAGTGATTCCTAGATCAGTTAATTCTGTTCTATTGTCTCTTATTCCAAAGAAAGTTAATCCTTTTAATTTCTCATATTTTAGGCCAATAATGTGAAACTCGGATAAATTTGAACTTTTTCCGAAAAAGGGCAAAATGGTAATTTGTCACTATAAAGCGGGTTTAAACTCAATATTTTTCTAAATCTCGGATGATGCAATAGACCTCACCATTGAATTCGTATCGCAAAATTGAGTTATCACGTCAAATTTTATCGAATTCTGAGATAGACAGATTTTACACGTTTTTCGAAATAATTGGGTGACGAATGAACTTTAAAAGGTCCCCAAAAACAAAAATTATGAAATTTTCCTATAATTGAGTAAAAGCTCAAATAAAATTAATTTGAACTCAAACTATAATTTAATTAAGTCGTTTTGAGTTAAAAACGGACTCGAAAGTGATAAATGAGCGGGGCGATGTGGACCGCAGAATTAAAAAATATAAATAGGGCAAAATATCTGAAAAATAAGATATTTTCTAACCCTTGTTCAGCACACCACATGTTGGAAGAGAGAAAAGACAGAGAATAGGGAAAAATAAAATTTTCAAGCTTCCTTCTCCAATTTTCGAAGTTCCATCGGCCGGAATCTATTGGACCAAAAGTTAAAATTGGTCTACGCGACGAGGGGTACACGTACGTGATTAACCCTAATTAAGACATAATTTAATTTAGTTAATAGGTCAATTGTGTTAGTTAAATAAAGTTAAACTAGTCAAAATAAGCCAAATTAGGGTTAGTGTGTGAATTAAGGATAATGCATTGATTGTTGCACTTTTCAGGGTTTAGTGCGTCAAAGCTACAAACTACTGGGGAGCCAATTTTGTCAAACCTACAAAATACTCCAGAGCCAATTCTCAAAGTTGCAAACTATAGGGTGCCAATTATCAAAGCTCAAAACAGAGGGGGATCTAAGTATAATTTCAAGCCGCCAAACAAGACTTTCACCCTCCCTTGTTGCCTATAAATACCACCCCTTAGAACTTGTAATTCATTCATCTTTTGGTAGTGAAAAACCCTCCAAAATTATTGGTTTTCTTATTGCTTATTGCTTTCTTTAAGTATTGTTTTCTTTTATTGTATTATTGCTTTTTTTAAGTATTGCTTTTTTTTTTATTGTATTATTGCTTTCTTTTAATTTATTGCTTCCTTTACTTCAAGTATTGCTTTCCTTTATTGTATTATTGCTTTCTTTTATTGTATTATTGCTTTCTTTTACTTCCATTGTTGAGCTTACTTCTTCCCTTAAAGGAGGGAAACTTTTCCACTTTTCTAGAGCTTACCAAAGCCATGAAGGGTGGAACGTGATTCACTCATTCTTTGTCGAAGATCGGCTCCTTGTGTAAAGTGTTTTACCTTGTAACTCCTCTACTTGGAGGGATGAGCATCACTCACTTTTCTAGCTTTACCAGAGCCATGAAGAGTGAGTAGTTTCTCATCCAATCTTTAGTAAGAGGTGAAGGAAATGTATAATTATTTGGAAGTTATATTTGTGCATTTCATTTATATTTAGCTTCAATCTGCATTTCTTTATAATGTCTTTCCATTACATTGTTTTCTTTACTTTAAGCATGAGTAGCTAAGTCTTTAAGTTGGCTAATCCAAGGGAGGCCTCCTCTTGGTTATGCCATTTCAACCCATCTTCTTTCCTCCCCTCGGTATACGTTGGTTCGGTTTGACTGGGTTGATTGAAGACATGGTGTGAGTCTTTCATATCCCGTAGACTTGTCACGGGTTATACTTGGATCCTCACTTCCATCTTGTCCCTCGTTTTCCATGAATCAACCGTTCATCTATGCACCAGTGGAGGAAGGTTTCGGGTTGACTTGACATTTCCATTGGAGTGAACCCTTCAGATTAGCCAACACTTGTTTCCCATTTCAATTTCATCACAAACCAACTCCAAACTACAAAAGATTTTGCACTTTCTTTTCATCAAAATCACTTTCAAAAAAATTCACATCCTTCCCTGAGGAGACAACCTTGGAATACTTTTCCAAGTAAAACACGACACTCAAAAGACTCCTTGCGCTTGGGGAGCACTTTTGTTCACACGCACACACATTTTGTACATTTCATATTCCACCGTTCCTTTGCCCTTTCTTTTGACATCATCCCAAGGGAGAGTGACACTCCCCCTCATACACACCATACATACGCTGAGGAAGATGTTAAGAGGTTAGGAACAGCACGAAAATAATTCAAGTATTTTTGGCCCCGTTGCCGGGGAAGGCAAGTGCCGAATCAAGAAGGCGATTTCTAGACAACGAAATTAAGTCCCATGATTTTCATCATGGGCTGAGGTACATTGTTCTGTGTATATTTTTTTGCTGTGTATAATTTCACTTGTAGATAATTTGTTGCTTGTAGGGATGAAATGAACAAAATCGATTGGTTAGACAATTCTTAGGCCCCAACATGAATATTGACCAAAACCCACCTGAGGATGTAGGCGATAATTTTGAAAATGTTGGTGCCAATCCAAATGTTCAAAGGGGTAAGGGAATGCCCGAACCTAGAATGCCTAATCCACAAATGCAATTTTCCCCTCCAGTGAATGAAGGGAATAACATCCAAATGGATCCTTCGACGAGGTCTATGAAGGATTTTCTTCAACCAACCTGTAGCACCACAGCCTCATACATCCTCTTACTGGTCCAAGCTCAGCTCTTCTAAGTTAAGTGGGGGATGTTGCAACTACTTCCTTTATTCCATGGAATTGAAAGGGAAAACCCCTATGTGCACCTAAAGAATTTTGAGGATATGGTTACAACCTTCAATGCTAACTATGCTATGGAGGACATAGCTCGATTGAAATTGTTTCCCTTCTCCCTCAGAGATAAAGCCAAATCATGGTTTGATGCCATGCAACCTCGATCCATTACCTCTTGGGCTTAAATGAATTCTAAATTTTTGAATAATTCTTTTTTCGGTTCATAGAACCACTGCTTTGAAAAAAGAAATTCAAAACTTTTCTGAGAAGCCCAATGAGCAATTCTATCAATGCTGGGATCATTACAAGGAGTTGCTACAATCCATTCCACATCATGGATTTGAATCGTGGCAACTGGTAAGTTTCTTCTACGAAAGAATCACACCAACCCATAGACAATTCATTGACATGATGTGCAATGGTGAATTCTTGAATAAAGACCCTGATGAGGCCCTTGATTACTTTA